CGAGCATCCAATGTTTCTGTACACGGACGAAATGACACCTCAGGAGCTCGACGTGCTCTTTGGATGCATTCGCAATGATAGCGACCGGGATCGTTCCTTGTACCCCTCGAGGGACATCTTGGACGAGGGCTGCTTCTTCTGGACAGGGGAGTGGGACACTCGCATGGACTCTATGTTTAATGATATCACCAAGGACATACTGCAAGGATCAGCAAAGTTCCGGACTCCCGGCATGTGGAACGAGTACTTTCGTCGGCTGAACCGCAGTCATAGAGGTTCCAAGGAGCGTCTCAACCAAGTGGTGCCTAGCATGCTGGCTCGTCTTCATGCCAAAATCATTGACGGTTTCCCGGTGGATTGGAACAAGCGGCGTCTTTCAGGAATCGAGTTGCCGGAGGAATACAGGCCACGTCAAATCGGAAATAGGGGGGCTCTGTAACGGATGTGATTACAGAACACTTCTTCATCCCTTCGTACTATTATTTCCGATTCTACGCTAACTAGCAGAGCTCTGCCCTCGTGGTCACTTAGTCACGGTAGTCACACTTGCTTACAATTCTTCCAGTCACGCATGTAGTATCTCATCTTTTTATCCATCATTCTTGCTACTGCTTGTAGTTCTCGAGTATCGTCCTCACGACTCGATCACACGCGTAACAGGGATATTGTAAGAAGGTGAGTAGCATAGTGACATTCAGAGGAGAGCTCGTGACTCTCCAGTAGCTGATTCTTTTATTTCATTCCGTCTTCCGCAGTAAGATCTTACTACATCTTCTTGCGGCATTCCGAGGAAGAAGAGTACGTCTACGCTCGTGGCTTACCAGAGCATCAGTAGCTACTCGCGTAGTAAGACTGACTCATAAGACTCAGATTAGATCTTTGACAGAGGTCTTCACACCATAGTGGTAACCTTCACCACAGAAGCTCACCAGTTCTACCTTGTCGTTGTCGCTCGAACCCCATAAATCTACGTGGTCCTCCGAACAGGTTCCCACAAACATCCCACTGCAGGGACCCTTTCCACCAGATTGAACATTGGACCGGCACCTTTTATGAGCCGAGCTGGCTGTGGAAAGTGGGTTTGGTTATTCGACTTGGTCACGAAGGTGATCGGTGCCCGAATGGAAGCAGCAACTTGAGTGCTGACCTTGACATTGACGAAGAGGAATGGTTTGACATGGAAGACCTTACCAGCACTTCGGCCGATCCAAAACCAACGGACCGTATTTACAATGGTGGCTGGGTCATGACCGTCGTCCATACTTCCGGTGTGCATCACCTACCTATTGTCTTCTGTGGATGTTCTGGTGCAGCAGCCGAGGACATACAGTTGTTCCGGGTTGGGTTGTACCCATCCACCTACAAGTCTTGCCAGACCGTATTTACCTTCCAACTCCTCGATGACTACCTGCTGGAAAACCTGGAATGTAAAACATCAGCCACCCACTACTACTCCAAATTGAGAAGGATCACCAACTTTGCATTTCCTAATTCCATTCCGGTATGTTGTTCAAGTACCGAGGTATACTCCCATCTCAAAACGTTTGACAGAACCGGTATCATGAGTTAATAAGGGTTGGTAGACAATACCATAATCTTACCGAACTGGCTACTTTTGGATTTGGACACAAAGGTAAGGCTCCGACGCCGGGGGAGATGGGTTTTTTTTGCCCTACCTGCCCACAACCGGGAGTCAACCTTCCTGATGACTGGAACAAAAACCCCAATGATCCTACTAACTGGAAGTATACCAGAGGATTTGTAGCCGATGGCAATTTCACAGCAGCCCACCAAAAACAGGCACGGCCCAAAGACGATGTTTGGCTTAAAAATGGGGATAGTTTCATGACGCAAAGAGGACCTTATTTGAGCCACCTTCGGGATGCGATTGAAGATAATGATGTAAGTTTTTATCCTTCGAGCGACTCGGCCGGTGTCTGAATCTTTCAGCCGAGGACATGTCATGAGCACAATGCTATCAACAACAAGAATGTATTTCACCGAGGTTTTGACGCTACTGGAATTGGAGCCATTGCTTGCCTTCGACATGGCACCTTTTGTCCGGGTTCGGTGGTAGATTTTCAAAAGGGAGAAAGGTATGGAAGTTATCCTGAGGTTGAATCGTTGTTTTACCGAACAGGCAAATGAACATGGACTATGCCTTGTGCCAGGCTCTGAAGAATACCATGACCGGTGAAGAAAAAAGGGTTATTTTTGTCTATGACATCAACTGCCAGTATATGGTGAATTTGATGGCTCGGATAAAACGTGGTGCGAAACACCTCTGGATCAGACCAGACTTGTTATTGGTAGCCGGGATCGGCTTATTCCATGTCCATGGCCATCAAGAAATATGCTTTCCACGATTTGCCCCAACATTCATCCCCGGGGCCAGTCAAACAGATGGAGAGATATTGGAGACTTTGTGGGCTGTTCTCAACGAGGTCTGTCGCACCACCCGGACAATGACTTTGGCCCATAGATCGGAGGTGTTGGATGCTCACATGCTGGATAATAACTGGAAAAAAATGATCAATATGGGTATCTATTTTCAACTGCTTTTACATTGCTTCTAAGCTAATAAATGTCAAGTGAGTAGCCTTTGCAAGAAGTGGAAGCGAGCAAAACTCGGGCTCTCTGAGAGCTTCCAGGCTCTTGAAGAATTAAGTGCCTCAGCAAGTAAGGAACAGATTCAAGAATGGGAGCAACAGATCAAAACGGCAAATTTGAACCGGGCAAAGGACCTTTCCACCATGGACATCTATTATGTCAAGGTCAAGGAAGGTAAGGACCAAGTTTTCCATCACAAAGGCCAGCTGTAAAATCATTCAATCAGCCGAGACCGAAAAGGGCATTCGGCTAAAACTTATGACTAAAGAACAGGCAGGCAAGGTCAAGCCGGGGTTAACTGGATGGGTAAACACCGGTATCAAAATTCAGGAAGCCCAGTGAGTAAAGTCAAATATTGCTAGATTCAAACATTGAACAATCCAGAGCCGAATTGGCCGCCTTTGTGAAGGCTCAAGGCAGTCGTCCAAGTGCCGATCAGAAGCTGGAGATAATGAAATGTTGAGAGAAGCTGTCCAAGTGACTTGAAGAGTTTTCCGAGGCCGGTCAAGGCCATTTTCCCAACTTGGAAATTAATGAAGGAACTATTCATGATCCACTGCTCTCGGAGGATATTGTGGATGACGATGACTGGAGCGATTGTGATGAAGAGGAAACCCCAGCACCGAGCATACCCAGTTTGCCTGATCAGGGATATGGATCGGCCGAACATCAACAAATCCTCTTACCATCCTCATTTCAAGCAGCCCTCCTCCCTACATCACTGGGAGAAGCCCGGTGCATAGAGATAGAATTGAGAGTGGCCCAGGCAAATAACGCTCTGAAGCGTTTACGGGAAGCCATCGGTTACAAGTCATTCCTTTATCGGAAGAGAATTCGAGCCGAGAAATCGAAAAAACGTGTAACTCGGGCTTACGATGCTGTACAAGGATCGGATCGCGATATGAAAAGTGCTCTCCGGGCATACAACCAAGCTCGATGGGCTCATAATCAACATACATGGAACAAGGTCAGATCCAGTCACTTTTATTACTCTACATGAATTGAAACCAGACAAATCAAAGTATATCAGGTGAATTGGCTCAGAGCAAAAGCTCGATATGACCGGTGGTCAGAAGAGCATACCTTGATCCCAAACGAAATGAACTGGACCCGCCTCTATTTCATCAACAAAGCAAGGGAGTGGGCTGGGCTGAGGGACTTGGTGCCAGACAAGCCGGGACATGTATGCTTTGCTGAGGGGCAAATCAGTATGTGGAAAGAACTGGCCTTCCAGGCCACCAAAGAATTTATAAATGCTGGGGTCATGTGCGAGGCCATTGCATTACCTAATCCTAGTTGAATCAAACTATTCTTTCTCATTGTCCACCATGTATGCAAAAGAACACCTGTCATTTGACCCCCGCCGAGCAGAGCAATGGGTTGACGAGGTGCTGAAGATATGGCCTCCAGCTTTTACCAGAGATTCTTCTGTAGTGGCTAATCTCCTCTGGAAGGACGAGCAAGAGTTCCAGGAGGTACTCTGCTACTGGTCCTCTCGATTCAGAGCCATTTTGACATCGAAGCTCGAAAACCCCATTGACCCCAAGTTCAAGAATTGTTGGTTGGAGTACATGTCGGCCGAACAGGTGAGCTTTATTTTGCCGCGCCCGGCTAAACTCATTCCTTTGGTTAGGGTTTCATTATAGCGACTCTCGGCATGGCATGCGCCTATGGGCATAAAGTAAAACTTTGCCCCAGATTTTTTCTCTTTGAGCTCACCTTCCTGCCAGTTTATCGTCCCTCCCTTTTTAAAGTCCTGTCTCCAGGGTAACCCACTGCACCCTCAGGAAGCCTTCATGGATGACCGTATCCGGCCTGCATACGAGTTTGGGTGGTGGAATACTCGCATCACCTTTCCACCAGGGGGCGTCGACCAACTTCTGAAAAGGTCATACAATTGGTTCAGATGGATGGCAAAGGGTGGTTTGCCAATCAAGTACCCGGACACTGACACCTCCACGCTGACACCGGCCGAAGTTCAGCACATCAAGACCCAGTTGGAGAATGCTTGGGATCGTCTCCTTGAACGTATCAAGCATGCTGAGGCCGAGGAAGAGTGGGTCACCAATGAGATTTCGGTTTGGGAGGAAATTGTACAGCAGTCTGCTCTTATTGACCTAATGAGGTATCACAAGAACCGGTTTTTAGCACATAGAAACCCAGGTGGAGAAAGCCCGGGATCGGGTTCGTCAAGCCCCCCGTCTCCTTGAACATATTGGTGCTGAGGCCGAGCAAGTTTGGGTCGGATTTGTAATTCATTATCTATTAGTTACCAGACAAATTATATATCAAGTCTGCCATGGTCAACCACTGAGGCCTCTTCACCCCAAGCCTTTCCCCAACCTTTTTGTGCCAAAAGTGAGCTAAACAGGCCCGGTCACCCAGCACAGGACAAACACCATGTTGTAAAACATTGCTGGCCAAGGCAACAACCGTCCCAGGGTCATAAACAAGGCTAAACCCGAGCCCGGCTAAGTGACACCGGCCTCCTGTGTAGTTTCCGATGGTGAGCAACAAGTCAAAAGACTCCCTATACCCCTTTAGATCTCGGTGATCGATCGTCTCTCGGTTCAGGATGACTGAAAGACTGGTGAAGGGAGTGGCCCAAACACGAAGAGCAATATTGATAGGATCGTCCAATGCCTCGGCATGATTGGCAAGCTTCTCGAAGGTGGCTAAACCGGACTCAAAAAGATCGGGTTGTATGACAGCATAGATTGCACCAACAATTGCATTGGCCAATAGGACATTCTGGAGGTAGGTTGAATTGGCAGGTTCCTGAATATCGGCTGACGCGCGCAGTGGATCCTCGGGACCTTCATGTCCTTGAGAAAACCAGCTGGGTGATAAATTTACAATCCCAGTGACCCCTTCATTCTCGGGGTGGTGATCCCGCCAAGTCCCATTACTTCTCTTTTTGGGGCTCAAAGAACCTGTGTGATCCCAAATAAATGTCTAGTAAAGTGAGGAAAGTCTAAGGGTGTAATGAAGTGAAAGTAATTACCCGAAGCTGTTCTGAGAACATTTCAGGAAAGTACCAAAGTAAATGTGACCCTGCCGGTCGGTTATATGGCACGGTTGATCGAGGTAGGGGATATCGGACCCGGCTGTCTGACAAGTCCGCAGCATAGTCCCGGACGTCCCAAGTAGTCGTATCTGTCCAAAACTTAGTGAAGATCGGCCGGCTAGAAGTGAGACATACATGAAGATTTGAATGCTTCTTCAAGCATGTTAATTACCCTTTCAACAGATGCTTGGGCCTCCGGCTCCAACCATGGTGGTGGAGCAGGACGAGGAACGCTTGGGCTATGTAAAGACCGCAACCGGCCTCTGAAGTATCGAGCTAGATCCCTTGTATATTGAAAGAAATCGGGGGCAGTCATGAACAAAAAAAAGGATTTTTGACACTTTTAACTGGCAAAACATGAGGCTCGGGCATGGATTTATTTATTACATAGAACAGGGACGTCTGTCAACATGTCAGGGTCATAACTGCCATTAGGATAGGATTGTGGTCTTTCCTGTCTGGTTGCACCCAGCCTTTCAGATCAGTTCTGCTCATCCGGGCTTTCAAACAAGACTCGACATGAATTTTTTTTTAAGTAAAAAGATACAGGTGGTAATGGTATGACGTATTAAGAGACCCGTGTTACGCCACATGCCCTTTCATAATAGGTGAAATGGGGGTTTGGATAGAGTAAAAAGGACGTACGGTAAGGTAACCCTCTCGCCGTCGTCATCGATGATGGTCAAGAGTATCGTCCCCTAATCACCATGTTAGTGGGAAAAAGGAAGTACAAAGGGGATTGCTCACGTCTGGCAACCTGCCGGTGGAGTCTACGGTTGCAAACATGAGGCCACCGCTACACATATTATACCAGACTCGGGTTCCTTTCTGACGAATCATCAGCTGGTTACAACCAATGGAGATGTACAGAACCTATGGGGTAGGGGTTGGGTGGAGGGATACCCAACAGACTCCAGATTGTCATGGGGGTGAAGTTATTCATGTCGCAGATGAGGGGGGTGAAGATGGGTCCTTGAAATGCAAGAGGGTTTTTAAAGGGGGAAACACAGATGTTTTCAGGTTAAATTACAACCCTCGATGCAACCCTATATCAGAAGCATAAATGATGGCGGCACAGGCCTCGAGGCCAAATTGCTAAAAAGAGTTGAAAGAGTCATAAACATAAGCATGGCCGGGGATTGAACCCGGAAGCTGGGGATTGAACCCGGAAGCCAACTACCATTAGACCATGCTGGCTTCCAAAGATTGTTGGTAAATCTGGGATAAGGGGTGAATTCTTGATTTCGTACTCCAATTGGTCTCATGTCCGGGCCCAGCTTGAACTGTAGTTTAAATGCCGAACAAGTCAGTGCTGAGTTTATAGGACCGGGTTCAATCGCACCCGAACAAGTATTCGACATGGTCGTCAGCTAAGTTACATTTTTTTGCTGGACTTGGCCAGGCACCAGGTTGTCTTATACACCGGGTTCACCCCCCGAACAAGTCACTGCACAGAATTTGTCCTTTTAACTGCTGCTATTAGAGTGACATGGTCGGCAGGTAAAAGATACTGACCGACATTGTCTTCAATGTTGGCTTGGCCTAGTAGTTAAGCTGGGAGGTGTACGTAGTATATGTATGTATGCCCTGGGTTCAAATCCTGAACAAGTCATAGATTCGCGTTTTGAAAAGTTTTTTACTTACTGCAGGTAAAAGATACTGACCGACCTATGTATGCTGGTTTAAATCCTAAACAAATTTTTTACTTGCTGCTATTAGAATGACATGGTCAGCAGTTAAAAGATACCAACCAACATTGTCTTCCACTGTTGGCTTGGCTTAGTGGTTAAGCTGGAGGTGTACAGAGTGTATGTATGCCTGGGTTCAAATCCCAGAGGTCACTTGCAACGATCGCAACTCTTTCGTTTTTGTAACTCTGGCTAAAATTTACTAATCAATTCTTACCGAGCTTGCAGACCCAGGTTAGTTGTCTTATGCTGGGTAAGTTACAAAGTGCCAAGCTTTCAGGCCAGGTGGATCATTGACTTGGCTCAGTGGTCAAGGTGGGAGGTGTACGCATTGTATCTATGTATGCCCTGGGTTCAAATCCCTAACAAGTCATGCTGTTCATCCTAAACAGTTTTTTACTTACTACTATATTAGAGTGACATGGTCGTCAGCTAAAAGATACTGACCAACTTCCTCTTGCAGTGCTGACTTGGCTTAGTGGTTGAGCTGGGAGGTATGTATGCCCTGGGTTCAAATCCCAGAAGTCACATAGAGCGAAGACAGCCTTTTTGTAACGCTGGCTAAAATTTACTAATCCAAGGCTTGTAACATCCAAAGTCCCAAGAACGGGTAGTTGTCTTAGTTGTCTTATGCCGAGAACGGGTGACTTACAAAGTGCCGAGCTTGGACGCCCGGGTTCAAATTGCAGGCAGGTAAAAGATACTGGCAGCGATCATCTTCCAACGTTGGCTTGGCTTCGTGGTTACGCTGGGAGGGTACATCGTGTATGTATGCCCTGGGTTCAAATCCCACAAGTCAGTTACACCTATCGCAACTCTTGTTAAAATTTACTAATCAATGCTGGTTTGACCGATGTTGTCTCGGATCATGAAAATTTGAACTGCAAGTTCTGCCTGGTCTGCCTCTGCTTGGCTGCTAAATTAAAGGCCAAGCTGAAAACAATTCGGCTTGAAAATGCCAGCCTCGGTGATGCATCGGCTGATGAGATGTTCATAAATTCTCATGTCCGGCCGACTCGGTGATATCCATGAACCATGACTACCATGTGGGTCTCGCCAGCTGACCCTGGTAACCAGAGTTGAGGGCCCTCGGCTGACCACCAACCCAGGCGAATTCAAAATGTCTGCCGACCTTGCATAGCCTAGCTGCTAATCAGAAGTGAAGGCCCTCGGCCGATCACCAACCCAGCAACGTTCACAACTGTCAGCCGACCTTGCATAGCTTATCTTCCATCAGCCGATATACAAATACAATGTTCAAAACTGTCAGCCGACCTTGCATAGCTTAGCTATCAGCCGATATACAAATACAGGGACTTGACTTCCCGGGGCAGCTTCCTACTGATCGGTGTATGCTAAATCTATGTAGCTGGCCGACCCTTCTTTACCTTGATAGTGGGATCACATCGGCCAATTCATCAACACAGGGTTATTGGCCCTCATTGGCCCATCAGCAGGCACCATCAACTATGGCCTGTTTGTATTGTCGGGCCTCTCAGTGTTGGTGGGTGATTCCTACTAACTGCCCTGTTACCCTCTCGCCAAACTCTCCCTCCCTAATAATGGCAATTCTCCTCCACGCAAAGCGCTACTCATAGAAATCACAATGGTCGAGCTCACGCAGCTTTGGGCGAAGTTGGACAAGTTGCATAATAGCCGTGTGCATCTTTTCCTTCTTTGAATCGACGGTGGTCCATAGTCCTCGACCGCGGAAGACTTCGAGGTTGGGGAAGAGGGATAGAATGGAGAACTATTCTTCCTGTTGTTGTTGTTAGATTCATGGATGGATGACGATGATTTGGGGGTTATGTATGAGTTTCACATTAGCTGGATGGATAGTGTCTTTGGGGAGGTGGACGGCGGGTAAGGAAAGCCAAGTGATGTTGGGGAAGAACTCTGCGAGCTGATGGATCGATTGCAGATCTCCCAACATGTGTAATCTGAGTCTACGAAGACTCATCCGATCAAAGGTCTTGAAGCTTGCCAAGGTCTGAGCGTCGACGGAACGCACATCGAGACATTCCAATGGGTGGAGGACGGGGGGATCTGGCGCTTGCGTTGGCATTGAAAACGTCATGCATTCTGGTGAAGCCTGATTATCCAGTTTCTCGACTTGTATAACTTGATCTTGTGAAAGCTGATCAAGCGTGATGACTACCTGTAGGCTCGTCCTCAAGCGCTTCAAGATGGGCAAGCTTCCAGGAGCGAGGTTGGGAATGCCAATCGGGAACCAAGTCAATTCCTCGATGGTTGGATGGTTCTCCAGGAACTGTGCACGTGACTCATCAATCGAAGACGTACCGCCAGACTGGAGCGACAGTTTCAGCTTCTTGAGGCGGGGGAACTTGCATTTCGCGAGGTTATGGAATTCTAGAGGGATTTCCAGGTACTAAGAGGCAGAGAAGAGAAAAGATTAGATAGGGAAAACAAGGTTGTCATGTTGAACGCACCTCAAGCCCTGGCAGCGATAGCTTGAACATGTGGCTAACGTGTGCAGCGTTTCCCGGCTTTACCCAAGCATCCCCAAGTAGGCATAAGGCTGTCAGGTTAGATATATTCCATAGCTATGTGCGTTGTCAGTCACATCATCACAGAACAAGGACAAACTTACCGGGTATGACATGCTGGTGCGGTCGACGTTGGAACTTTGAACGTGATTGGCGAAGCGCCCCGAAAGCCCAAGGTGCTTGAGTGTCGGCTTATGACGAACGATATCGAGAATTGCATCCTCATGGGCAGGATCAAGCATTGGTTTGCTCCGCTGCTGCAGGCCCGTCGTATTCCAACACCAACTGAACACCTGTAAGTCGTTCATATGGCTCAATGCCTCGCAAACATTCCGCACACGATCCGCCTCTGAAGACTGGGACAGATCCAGCTAAGGATCGACAAGAGTGGTGGGCAGACGACCAGGCGCCATGTAGTTGTGTTGTTCGCACATATGGACCTCACGGATATTGCGAGCGATGTCGGCTCGTCTTGCGAGGTGCGCCCATAGTTGGAAGCTGGCATTGCGGACACGGATGATTCGATATTGGGTATGACGGGGTATGACAATGTTGGCGCAAGCATATAAGGCCAAACCGAAGTTGGTAAGGTCCTCGTGGAAATCGATCTCTGATGCAATCTCATCTAGGACCTGATCTGGGAGACGGAGGAGTTGGGGGCCGGGCTCTGCTCTTGGTGATTGATGGTCTGGTGCTGAGTGAAAAAGCGGGAAGAGGGTAATGTGACAACACTTTGTCAACCGTATTTCGGCCTGGCGTTGCTGCTCTTCTCCCGTTGTATGCGCAACATTGCGACTACTTCAGTGCACCAACTCGCCACAGCGCTAGTAGCATGGAGATCTACCTCAAATCGACGTATCACCTTCCCCACACCTCCACCCACATTCACACTCAAACGTCCTTCCCCCATGCAACCGGGTCACCAGGTCTCTTTGTCCACCCATATTCTCCACTCCCAGAAGATTCCCTCCATCCCCGGACTGGAGAAAGCATCACGCACACGCCCCAGCCGCTCAATCCTCCCTCGATCGACGACACAACCAAATATATGACCCACGACAGCTCAGCCTCCTGGCATTCAAAGTTCAACGTTCAACGTTTAGCCCACTCACTCCTACATCTCCTAGTCAACATCAGCTCCTCATCCTCCCCTGCGCCTGCGACCTCCCTCTCCGCAAATCCCCCCAAAACCACGTTGACCACCCAACACCGGCTCAAACGTGCGCGAATACAACACAATCATCTCCACCCGTTAGTCTTCCGGTCCTTCGAGCATTCAACATGTCCCTTGCGACAGCGGATCTTCGATCTGAGGATCAACATCGACTCTTCGAATTTACAATGCCTTCGTATGCAGTGAGGGGGGAGGAGAAGATGACGATGAGTGTATGCATTCGAGCTGCGTATCGTGGTGTCAGGATCCTGGTGATGATATACTCCTTGAGGCTGCTCATACGTGATAGGTTGCAAAATCTGAAGGGAGGCGAAAAAGCCATGTCAGGGCAAAGACGGTGGTGTGCATGAGCGTCACGGAGATGGTCTAGGCTTTCGAGAGGTCAATTTGAGGGGAGCAAGTGGGCTGGATGGGATATGCCGTAGTTTTTCCAGACAACTCATGAATCCTCAGCTTGGATTCGGTCGGGGTGACTTCTGTTCACAAATGTGTGTGTAGTCTAACCTGATTGGAACAAGGGGAGGTCAGGGCTACAACAAAAGGAGCTGTTGATAAATGTTACCCACCTCCGAATTGAGATTTGCGTCTGTATTTCACGGAGGTAAGGGTAACGTCCAAGTATTTCTTCGAAGTTGTGGTGGGACTAGAACAAATATAATGATCAATGGCTGGATGTGGTGTGAGGGTATTGTGTGTACCCTGTGGTCTACATGCTTGAGCGGCGTTGGCTTCGAGTAGTGCATGAGGGTTAGGTGTCGCTCGCAGTTCATCTTTACCTGCTTTTGCCCGAAACGGAAACCGAATGTTTTGTGGCAACGAAACGTCGGGGAATGGCTGCAACAAGGTCAACATGTGGTATTTAACGATAGAAGTAATGTCGTACTCACCTCTCCCCCAACGTCCACCGAACTTGATGTTCATGTGAAGTGCATCAAGCTGCTGAAATACACCAACACAAGGGATCTACTAATGGTCATGCGGTTCTGGTTGCGTAAGCTGTACAGGGTAGTTTGTAGATACAAGTCGTTGTTGGAGGAGTAGCGGATGGTGTTCGTGAAGTTGGCCAGCTGATCGGGAGTACCGGCGTCCTTGAAACCGTGGCTCGACAGCAGTGTGTCGGGCAGGATGACGGGGTCCTTTGAGCTTGTAAGGGAGGTCTTATCAGTGCCCCCCTAATTCCTGCAGGATTCCGGTCATTCCTGTGGATTCCGGTGGATTCCGGAGGAGTGAAATTTAGCAGAGGGGCCTGCTATTTTCTCCATTCCGGTGCTTTACCATTCCAGCGGAATTTCGGCATTCCGGAATTGTGACCGGAATGGTCCCCGGATTGGCAAAAATGGAATGCAACCGGAATCCGGTTTGTTTGGCACAAGCCCATTGCCAAACAATTGTTTGTTTGACAACGGCTTTCACGCTCATCCAAATACAACCCTCTTCTCTCCCACCACCACTAACCTCTCCTCCCACCACCACCAACGTCCCCGCTCCTCGTAAACGCGTGCCCGCTACCCACCCACGCCACGTCACCACGGTCAGCTGTGGCCACCACCGCCCACAAACGTCGTCGACCGCCAACAACGACCACATCAACAACGCGGCAACGCCACGTCAGCAAGCAGACGAGCCCCGGCGAGGTCGAGGGGACGAAAACGGACCACGAGGGACGACCACGACGACCATGACCATGCCCACGAACCACGACACGCCCCACGACGTCAACGGACGCCCACGTCAAATGCCAACGGACGCCCACGTCAATGGACCACGACCACGTCAATGGACCACGACCACGTCAATGGACCACGACCACGCCAGCGGACGACCACGTCAACGCACCACCACCTCAACGGACGACGACCACGCCAGCGGACGACCACGTCAACGCACCACCACCACGTCAATGGACGATGACCACGCCAACGGACACCCACGTCAATGCACGACGACGTGCCCCCGCCGATGGGAAACCAAGGTGCCACGTTGCTGTCAGCGATGTGGCAACCAAACGACGAACGACGACGACAACGTCGTCGTTCGTCGTTCACACAAAGGTGAGTCCCCTGACTCTCCTTCATCCTATCCCATCTCGCTAACAGCCACCACGAAATCACACGACGACGACGAGTGCATTGTCCCTCCCCCTTCCCTGTCCCTCCCTTCCTTTTCCTGCCCCTCTTCCCTGTCCCTCCCCATTTCCATGTACTCCCATCCCCCTTC